CCGCCCCGCGCCCTCCCCTTCTGGTGACAGAAAGTCGGCCCAGCAGATGAGGAAGTGGCAGGCAGGCTGGCCCTGGGACTTCTCTCTGGCTCTGCTCCCTGCGATCCCTCCACCGCTGCCCGCCTGGCCCCCACTGGTGAGTCTGGAGCTTCCACGGGCTCTCCACGTGCCGGCGCCCCCTGCCTGGCCCTCGCGGCCCGGCCCGGCCCAGCCCTGCCCTGCCCTCCCCCAGCTGTGGGCGAGGCTGTTCCTGGGGCGAGTGGATGGGAGGTCCCAGCTCCCTGGGGCCGGGCCTCACCAGCACCCTCCCTCCCGCGACACCCCCGTCCCCGGCCCCCATTTGCTAAACCTAGCTCTTCCTCCCCTATCCCCTGCCTCTCCTCCTCCCGTTTCCCCCTCCCCCTTCCTTTGCCGGTCTCCTATTCCCTTCCATCCATCTTAAAGGAAGGAAGGAAGGAGCTGAGTTTTCCTGTGGGGGACACACCCAGACTTCCCTCCCACTTGGGCAGAGGGCCTTCCCAGAAACCTTGAGTCCCTCCTGACCTCCAGGGTGTGTATGGAGGTTTGAACTTGGAGGGGTAGTGGCTGGGAGAGATAACAAGCTGGCAAGCTCACGTGTGTCAGAGGGGAACCGTGCATAAGAGCATGCCTGGCCGGTAGGCCCTGCCACAGAATAGCAACCGGCAAAGTGACAAAGTGACTGAGAGAAGAAGGACGGAACCCCTGTCGTTGGCAAAGCAAGATCTGTGCGTGCCGCGTATGGAGTGGGTAACTGGAAGTTTCCCCACCTCCCAGTGGCTCACACTTGTGTGAGTAAGCCTGTGCATGTGCCTTCCAGCAGACGTGGGCCTGAGTGTGTCAGGTGTACATCTACGCCTTGGAACGTGGGGCCTGTATGAGCTGGTGTGTGAGTGCCAGTGGGCATGGTGACCACTGCAGGCTCAAGGTTAGAAACCATGCGTGTCACAGTCCAGCGAGTCCGGTTTGGGTGGGGTGACAGGCAGGGCAGTCGCTGGCAGGAGGGACGTGGGCTCTGTGTGTGTGAGCGTGCACGCGTGCATGCTAGCCCTTGGGGTGTGCCTGTCATTGGGGTGGTGGGCAATAGAGAGCTATGTGAGAAGCAGGTATGTGCAAGTGAGAGGGTGTGTGTGCATGTGTGTATGTGGATGTAGGGTGTGGGATCTGAGTAACACGGGTCTGAAGAAGTGTGAGGTGCCTGCAGCTGTTGGGGAGCACATGGGATTTGCGTGTGCGCACATGTGTGTGAGGAACGTGCTGCAGCCTCTGGTGGCCGTGTGCGGTTTGCGTTGTTGCTTCTCGCCTGCACAGGTGGGTCTCAGTGGAGGGAATCTGGGGCACCTGCTGCCCTGGCGGTTGGAGGAATGCCTTGTCCCTCTGGGACTGTCTCAGTGTCCCGGGCTCTCCTGGCGCTGAGCGAGAGGCTTTTGTGTCCCTGGGAGCCCTCCCCTGACAACATTCCTTCGGGCTCCGAGGGGGAGGTGCCTTAGCCCTTTAGGACCCCACCCTGAGGGAGGAGGAGATTCCTGAGACCTCCCCCACTCTCCCACCTCCTCACATGCCACAGGCTTCCCTGGCCCTCCCTGGAAGGGAAGGGTGATTGTACCCATTGTGAAGTAGGGCATACTGAGAATCTATGACTGGTTCAGGAGAGGATGCTGGGTGTGGATTTTCAGCAGCTCAGCTGGCCAGGGCTGGGCCTAGGCTGGGCCTGGGCTGGGACTGGGGGCGGCGGTTTCTGGCTCAGGACCTAGGACCTTGGCTTATCTAGCTGGCCCTGGGTGGGTGGGTGGGTGGGTGGTGAGTGTGGGGCTTTAGTTGGCTTTCCCAATCCTCGTAGGTCCTGCTCCTCCAGGCACTGACCTGTGGCCTGGACCCACCCTCCACCCCCTGCGCAGTACAG